CATTCCTGTATATAGGTAGTGGTTTTGGTATGGTGGCTTATAAGTTCTTAAAAGAGCTGTCTCATGTCTTGGTATGTTACTATACACGAGGACCTGCACTGGATAGCTAAAACTAGCTATGCTAATACTAGCTCATTGCCTCTCGGCCTGTTTCTTCAACTATTTTTAAGCCGATGGCTTGTTTTTCCAAGCCTCTCTGAACCTCCAGAAAATCCAAAGCCTTTCCAAGTCTACACGAAAAGCAAAGTAGCTTTCAAAAGTTGTGAGAATCAACTGTGCGAGTCCAAGGCCATTGTCACTTGATCAACAAAGCATATATGATAGACTTCCAACGTATTTTAGAGTTTCTGTAATAGACCTTTTCTGGTAAAAGACCTCTGGAATACCGAAGATCTGCTGACCGATGCACATCTGCTGCTACCATGCTTTGGAAAGATGAGATAAGCGACGGAGTCAGCCCATAATACAAGAAAAGCAAAGCACAAAGCGCTTGCCCCCCAGGATGTTCAAACATATCTCTCATTCGCGGCTACTGTTCAAGAGCTTGATTAAATCCTCAAATTTATTTTTAACCCTTGACCATGAACAATTTGTTTGTCCACTGTTGGTGTTTCCAATAACAATCCCAAGAGGACTGGGCACATCTCATCCTTACAATTTTTATGACGAAAGGTGATACTCATAATCTCAACTAAAGTTTGGTAATGCGGAAAGATGCTTTTTAATTGTATTAAAATGATTTTTTTTTATATTTTTTTAAAAAATTATTATATAATAAAAATATTAATTTAATATCTTTTAAGTTAAAAATAATTTAAAAAACAATTTGGAAATAGAATTAACCACTTTTGACTGACTTTCTATTTGGGCCATATTGGACTGATTCTTTAAGCCCTGTAAATGGCTTGAAATTAAATTCAAGTCCATTCATTCTAAGTTCCACTGTTCACATCTCATTAAAATAAAAAAGCTGTGACATCTGATTATTCAAAACTTTATACTTTGACATTTCTCTTCTTGGAATGTATAAAAATATTATAGCTTTGAATCAGAGCACACAAAGACCAAACTATGAATTTCGTGGCTTAAATGATGGCTCAATCAACTCGGATATTTCTCCAAATCTTTGGAACTATATTATTCAATAACTTGAGGGCTTGAGAAACATATATTTAACTAGCCGTAAGCATCAGGGCCAAAAATATATGAAACCTGTAATATTTGACAATGCTCTCTTCGAACTACAGCCACTTGGAAAAAATGTAAAATTTAAGAACATTGATTCCCTTTACATTTTAGATATCAAATCTCATGAATTTAGTGATAATTATCATCCTTGCAAAGTAAAAGAGAAGTTTTTCATACATAACATCTTGATGAAAAAAATTTAATATCATTTACAAAAGAAATTATAAGGGTTAATCTGTACATGTTACTTTAACGTACAGAAAGAATTTTTATAAGAATGTGGATTAGTTATGGACAGAGAGGTCTAATATATACTATCAAAAAAGTTTGCTAGCAAACTCATCTATGGTGCTTCCATGTACATGAGAAGTCGATGATTTTCTAGCAAGATCTCTAAGTTGTGACAAGCTCCTTCCAAGCTTCAATGCAACATTCATTTCAAACATTTCTCCATCTTCCCTTTTCTCCAAATCTTTCCCTGGAATTGTGGATTCAATTGATTCCTCCAAGAGTTTAAAGAATCCAGCAGAGTTTCTGTACATTTCAACCACCATGCCAACTTGCCCTCCATGTTCAAATGTACTGACTGTGCTAGCTAAAGCACCTGCTGTCACTGCCACTATTGCTGCCCATGATCCATGGCCTACGAAGGCAGACCCAGCAGCTGCAATGCCTGTAAGTAATGGGCCTGAGATGGCCATAATTTTGTTTACCTTCAATGCCAAGCTTCCTAGTCTCATATAATCTTCACTATCTTTCCTCTTTATCACTTCAATCACCTCCCTCATTTCCTTTTCAAGATCTTCACTCCACTCATTCTTCGCTTGTGTTTTGTGCTGTTTCCTTGGGGATTCATGTGGTTTAGGCCACCAGACAGCAGGCTCAAAATTTTCAGGGAACTTTTCAATCATTTTCCCTAACAAAGGAAGAGGGTAAGCTTTATCAAGAGCCAATGTTTTCTCCATTGCATCCTTCACGTCTAATTCGGTAGGATCGCGAAGAGCAAGTGTAGTTTGAATTTGGCTATAAAGTTGCTTGAACAATCTTGTTGCATTTCTTTGCTCTTCTGCGAGCTGTGAAGGTTGGATTTTGTTCATGATTATTAACATCCCTGTTGCTGCTGAAAATAAAAGAGTTGATGATAACTTTAAAGCGAAAAGAGGAGCTCCTGCTGCACCACCTGCCGCAACACCAACCATAGTTGCAGCTGTGAGAGTGATCATATTAATGGAATTCAAGAGAAGTTTGTTCCAATTGTCACGTTGCTCGCCGATGTTTTTGTGCATCTCAACTCTATCAGCAACAGCTTCTAGGATTGCATAAAGCTTGGCAGATGCTGTAGTACTAGTTGTAGACTTGATTGGCTGATGTTGATCCAGTCCTGTGTTTTCTGATGGGATTGTACTTGTGAACCCATTTCTTAAATTCAGTTCCTCCTCTAATTTTAATGGAGTTTTTGTAGCTGGGAAACGAATCCTTGGAAGTTTAGGGACAGAAATGGCAGCATTGATTCCCTTTGAACAGCTACAAGAAGATGAAGAGAATAGCAAGCCTGAAGCTCTTAAAGAGGCCATATTGTAATATGGGTTTTCTTTGATTTCTTTTGTTCTTTGGTTTCTTTGTATGTAGGAGGAGAGGGTTGATGATGGATGAAAATGGAGGGAGGCCATGGAAGGTATTTATAGCAACCACCATAAGTGGAAAGAAAATGTCATATGGGTTGAATTGACTGTATTGTAGAGTTGACAAACCACCACGTTGGCTGCTGACTGGATCAATTCACCCCTTTTGATTTGTCCTTCTTTGGTCTCAGGTCTGACATTGTAAAACTTGATCTGCAGCGGTTGTATCCTACCTTAGCTTCCTGCGACACCATCACTCATGCAAGATTTTCTTAAGAGTTGACTTCCACGAGTAGGGGACCTCTTGTTTCTTAAATCCCATCCATGGAAATATCATTAATTCTTCCGAATTATATAAAGGCAAAATTTATATGGAAGCTGACCGATAACTTCGAACTCTCGGCTCTGGTTATTTCACGAGATGTAATTGTCATGGAAGCACAAGAACACCACGTCCTTATTGTCCCGGTGGAAAGCCACTGCCCTTGCCTTGTACGTATATGCCCTTAAAAATCACGGAAGCCAAAGACTCATGCAAGATCATACTCTTGAAGGAAATATTAGGTATTGATGAACTTCAAATGGATTTGATCCTTGACAGCTAGTAGTGGATTGGTTGTTGGGTTAGGTAACTAGTTATCACCTACAAAACAGACTCTTTAATACTTAATTTAATAAAAGTATTACAGAAGCAAGAAACTTGAGAGTGTAAGCATGGATTTTTAGTATATCTGTTGTCATAAGAGTCCTATGCCTTCATACCTGATCATCCTCGCCATTTATAAATATTTTAAAATATTTCATTCATAGTTTTCCTCAAGATTTTCATTGGCATTAAGCCGGCTGTAATAGTACAATGGTTATGTCTCTAGAGATTATGGTGATCACTAGCACTAGAAAAGGATATCTTGTGTGGCTGGTGAAAGTGGTGGCCTGAGTTTATGGGCTAAGACAGGATGGTGTGATATGTGTGCCTGACATGCATGTAGGCTAAAAATATGTGGGTAGCCAAGCCTATGAAAGAGAAGACAGGAGAGAAAATTATGTGTGATATTTTAAGCAATTATCTTTATTATATTTAATTAGTGACATTTATGTAACTTTCAAAATCAATTATATCAATATTACTTGTAATTATGATAAGATTTGATTGATATTTGGTAATAAGTCATTTGGTTTAAGTAAAGATACATACAATTGTCACTTAAATTAAAAAAGAATATCATAAAAAATATATTACTGACAATTATGAAATATTGTATAATGTATATCTATAATTTATTTTAGTCAGTTTTATAAAGAAATGTATTTAAAAGTTAGTTTTGTTATACGAAGTTGTAATGTAATTGAATACTTCGTATCAATATTTATCTAGGACAAGAGGTTGATAATGCATGAGAGACCAAGTGGAAGTTATTTATAATACTTAATTTAAAAAAATTAATTTTTATTTTGTTATCAAATAAAATTATTAAAATATTTTAAAAATATTTGAGGGCATGTTTTCAAAATATTAGCAAGCATTCAATATTTTTTTATTAGTTATCTTCAGTTTTATTTTTTGTTTTTTGTTTTTTTTGTTATTGATTTTTTTATAATTATATTATTAAATTAATCAAGCTTATTGTTTTTTTTTAAATTAATAACTTTGATTCTAGATTTTTTTTTATTTTAAAAATAGTATATATTAAAAATAAAAATTAACCTGGTATATAATGTAACGCAAGTAACTATCTAGTAGTAACCCAAAAAGAAAACATCTTAAAAGTGGAGGTGATATCTTTTGAATCGAATTCAAAAAATTGACTGCCAGGAAGAGTAGACAATGTCTGCTGACGGGACCTGTTCAACCCTTATTAACATGTATACTTCAAATTTCTACCATTGCATGGCCAACCCTTGATTTCCACAGCTAGAAATAACATCATATCGCACTCCATTTGATCTCATGATAGAACAACAAAACAGAGTTTGTTAGCTTGATTCAACAATTCAATGGAGGTGTTGACAATTTAAAATTTTATAATGCAAAAATAAAATAAAAAAATATTGGATTTGCAAACAAGTTTTCACTTTGTAGTTTGTACAAAGGAATCGGTATTAGAACGTAATGAAGGAATGTGGATTAGCTAGTAATGTAGAAAAATCTACTCTCAAAATAGTTTGCTAGCAAACTCATCTATGGTGCTTCCATCTATATGAGAAGAAGTTGATTTTCTGGCAAGATCTCTAAGCTGTGACAAGCTTCTTCCAAGCTTCAGTGCAACGCTCATTTCAGACATTTCTCCATCTTCCCTTCTCTCCAAATCTTTCTCTTGAATTGTGGATTTAATTGATTCCTCCAAAAGAGTAAAGAATCCAGCACTGTTTCTATACATTTCAACCACCATACCAACTTGGCCACCGTGCTGAAATGTATTTACTGTGCTAGCCAATGCACCTGCTGTGACTGCCATGATTGCTGCCCATGATCCATGGCCTACAAAGGCAGACCCAGCAGCTGCAATGCCAGTAAGCAGTGGACCTGAGACGGCTAAAATCTTGTTCACCTTCAATGCCAAGTTCCCAAGTCTCATATAATCTCCACTGTCTTTTCTTTTTATCACTTCAATCACCACCCTCATTTCCTCTTCAAGATCCTCACTCCACCCATTCTTTCCTTGTGCTTTCACGTGTTTTCTACTGTGAGACTTGTTTGACTTAGGCCACCAAATAGCAGGCTCAAATTTGTCAGGAAACTTTTCAATCATTTTCCCTAACAAAGGAAGAGGATAAGCTTCATCAAGAGCCAAAACTCTGTCCATTGCATCCTTCACATCTGTATCAGTAGGATCATGAAGAGCTAGTGTGTTTTGTATGTGGCTATAAAGTTGCTTGAACAATCTCGTGGCATTTCTTTGCTCTTCTGCGAGCTGTGAAGGTTGGATTTTGTTCATGATGATTAACATTCCTGTAGCAGCAGAAAATAAAAGAGTTGACGATAACTTCAAAGCCAAAAGTGGAGCTCCTGCTGCGCCACCTGCTGCTACACCAGCCATAGTTGCAGCTGTGAGAGTGATCATATTAATTGAGTTCAAAAGAAGTTTGTTCCAGTTGTCACGTTGCTCGCCAACATTTCCATGCATCTCTACTCTATCACCGACAGCTTCCAAGATCGCATAAAGCTTGGCTGTCGCTGTAGTACTGGTTGTAGAAATGATTGGTTCATATTGATCAAGTCTTGTGTTATTTGCAACATTATTGTTTTCTAATGGGATTGTAGCTTTGAACCCATCTCGTAAATTCAAATCCTCAACCGGTTTCAATGGATTTTTTGGAGCTGAAAAAGGAATTCTTGGAAGTTTAGGGATTGAAATGGCTGCGTGGGTTCTTGTTGAACACCTACAAGTAGAAGAGAAAAGAAAGCTTGAAGCTTGCAAAGATGGCATCTTGTATATGGGATTTCTTTGATTTTCTTTGGTTTCTTTAATTTGTTTGTACGTATGAGGAGAGGTTGATGGTGAAAATGGAGGAAGACAACGGAAGGCATATATAGCAACCAACGGTGAAGGTCATCTGTGTTGAATTGACTGCATAATAGAGCTGACAACGTCCAACACAACATTGGCTTGTGGCTGCTGACCGGACCCGTTCACCGCATGGAATATTTGTCTACTTCAAGATTCTTACTCCAGCCTCTGCCTCTGCCTCTGCCGGGCCTTAGACTGCAACTTAAATTGATCAATTCTGCTGTTATAGTTTCCATTTTCCCAGCTTCTTGTGGCATCATTGCTCATGCAAAATTTTCTTGATTTGGACTAAATATATTAGCTCATGCTTCAAGTTCTTATTGCCCCTTCCACAAGTTAGTCTCACGATATAAAGAACAGCAGAAAACTAGAATATTTTGGAATTGGCCAGTGTCTTCTCATTGATTACATCATTTACTTGTTAATTGGGATTAGAATAAAATTAAGAATAAGGGAAATAAAGGAAAAGTTGGGTTACTTTTCAGGTTATGAAGAAAAAAAATTAAAAATTTACTGTTTAATCACCAATTTAATTTGCTTAGATGATACTTTGTTATTTGTTCGCGTGATATCACGAGATGATTTTCAAAATCTATTTTTTATTTAGTTTTCTTACCATTAAAAAAAATATTCGTAAAAAATATTATGATTTTAATTTTAAAAATATATTTTTTATTAAAAAAATATTCTTTTTCTTGTTCATGCGATTTCTTTTTACAAAAAACATTTTTTTAATTAATAGAAAGGTTTTTTAATTAAAAGTAAAAGCAATCAAAATAATTTTTTGTTAAATTTTGCGTAATTTTAAGTAAGAAAAATGTATATCTTCAATATAAACTACATTTCATTATTAATATACTTTTTTTAACGGAAACATAGTTTTTTATCATAAATATAAACGCAAGTTTTAATATAAACAAATATTAAAAATAGTGTCTTGATATATTATATGCAATTAAGCATAAGTTGAATTATTTTATTTATAATAAATTTTCATTAAGATTTAAAAAAAAAACCTAAAAAATCGTATTAAAAAAATTAGATGCTTGGGCTAAATGACTCAGCTTGCTTACGTGGCCATGACCTTCTATCCTTTTGTTTTTAATAGGGTGAACGACACGTAGTTCGTTTTATTTAAAATAAATAAACAAACTACGTGGAAAATGATATGTAAAGATTTTGGCCAACAAAGCACTCGCTTTCTTCTCCCTGATTTTTCAACGACTTGCTATATATTTTCTCTCAAAACTCAAGTATTAAAATCTTAAATAAATTAAGTATAAAATCAAATAAATTAAGTATTGGATAAATTTGCGCCTCAATAGTCAAATTCAAATGAATTATTTTTATTAAAAAATCATTATTTTATTTAAAAAAATAATTTCTAATTATTGAATTGATGATTTTGATGGATCAATTTAACTCTAAACCATGAATTTATTAAGTTAACCTAATTGAGTTTTAATAATTATGATTTTAGGTTTTAAGGTGTTGTCTATGAAGTAAGTTTTGAATTCAAATTTAATTAAAAAGATATTAACATATTTTTATATAAAAAACAATATTTCAATTTATATATAGATGATTTATCAAAATTTAATTTAGATATCAAAATATTTGATAGCAAGAAAAACTCGCTTTAAAATGGAAAACCCAAAGTTGCTTCCATACAAGAAAAGGAATGGTTTGAATCTCTAACTTTTTTATATATTTTTCAAGAAAAGGAAGGAAGTTTTTTTTTTTTTTAATCATTGAGAAATCTTTATTATAAAGTGGTAGTGTTCTAGACTTTGTAGGTCAAGTCATATAAGTACACATGAAAGAACATCCAGTCCAAATAAAACAAACTTGGGCCAAAACAAAATAAAAATAAAGCTAACAATATAATACATAAGAAAGCCTAAACATACAAATGAAGCCCTACTAATTAAAAAATAAAAAATGTTGAAATTTTGATAAATATTTTTATTGCAAGGTAAATATAGTTATTATACTCTAATTATATACCAACTTTAACCTATTTATTCAAGGTTAATAGAAAATCTAATTATTTTGGATGATAACTAGTTAAACTTAATAACTAAATAAATTAACTTATAACTTAGTTCACGGAATCAAATTTAGAAGAGATCTAATCAAGTTAATATCAATAATTTTTTTAAAAAAATTTTGTTTAAAATAATATTATTTTAGAATGAATTTAGATTTACCCAATGAACCAATAACCTAGACTCTAAACCGAATAGCACCCCATCTTAAATTGCCATTAAAAAAGCTTGATCGTAAATTGTCATTAAAATTGGTATTGAAGCTCCGCTGTTATAATTTTAATTGGTCAAAATAGATATAGTGTATACAAGAAGCACTCTTCTCATGGATGAGTTCCATATAGCTTTGTGCTAGCCATTAGCGTAGTGCCATCCCATTTGATGCTAAGATAATTAATTAGTTGTAGGTGAGTTAATCAAAAAAATTAAAATATCTTTACCCTTAAACTATATAAATTTTTTCTTTATTATGGATACCTAATTTTGATGTGGATAGCTTATTTCTTTGAATAATTCCAAAAATACGACCTTCTTCCTAAACCAAATAATCTATCATTTTCATACAAAGGTGTAACACAAATTAAATTATGATTCCATCAAAGAATATTTTCTTGATCATTTATTATTCTCTAGAAATCATCAACTTGATACCCTAATCAGATAAAAAAATTAAAAAAAAAAATTAACATCAAGATGCAAGTAGAGAGAGAGAGATGCAAGTAGAGAGAGAGAGGCATATGATTTATCAAAAGAAAAGTCAAATCACAATAATTATACATTTTCAAGTTAGCGTCCATAAACAAATAGAAGGGTTAGCAAATCATTTTCTTGACCAGCTAAAAAATTTGCTATACGGTAGCTATTTCCACAGCAAAGGGCATTGAATATCCCCATGTTGTTTTAAAGTCCGGTACACGATCATGTTATCTTTTGATCTATAAAAAAATTCAATCCATAATTGATATTGATCTGGTATGATTCAATTAATTTAATTAAAATCTTGTTTTAATTTTTAAATAATGATATTTTTTGTCTTAAAAAAATTATTGAACGAAATTATAAATTATGATAATGAATTTGTGACTTGAACGTGGCACCACCGGTTAATCACCTACTTACGCTTAACTACTCTGGTTGTGAATATGGTCAACTCATGTAACTCATGTTGCTGATTGGCTTACATAGACAGAACTGAGAATCCAAAACTTAAGGACCACTTGTCACTTTTTTATGTCTTGTTAGATATTTTAGAGCGAGCAGCTGGTCAGGTTAGCAAGAGAGGAGACGAGAGGGAGTTAGGTGAGAGTGATTATTAGTATAAAAAGTTGAGTCTTCCTTGCTCAATCTGAGAGGAGAAAGGAAAAACAAAAATGGGGTCAGTAGCAAAGAAGGGACTGCAACAGTATATGTTACAGCTTCAACAACACCCCTTAAGAACTAAGGTCTGTATTTGAAAACAATCTCTCTGTTTTTTATGTGTATTCTTGTTTGTTTTGGATTTGGTTTTGATGGGTTGCTTTGATTGAGGAAGAAATTGATGAAAGTTTGAATCTTTTCTAGTTTTTTCTTTTTTCTTGGCTTGATTTTTTTTGGGTTACTTTGGTTGAGGGAAGAATGTGATGACAGTTTGGGTCTTTGCAGTTTTCTGAATTTTTTTAAAATGGGAAATTGAGGTCAACTGCCCTCTTGATAATTGCAATTGTTTTGAGTTTGGAGGTGAAAAATTGAGATCTAAATTTTTAATTGTTAACCTTTGTGAATTAGTAATGCGATCTGATGTTGTAAGAAAATTTGTGTAATGCAGGCAATTACAGCAGGGGTGTTGTCAGCTCTCAGTGACATAGTATCACAGAAACTCTCTGGCATTCAGAAACTTCAAATTAAAAGGATTTTGCTCAAAGTGGTACAAGCTAGTTTCTTTCTCATATCATTACCTTCAATTGTTTTCCAATGAAACTGATCGAGCCGTGTGAGTTTTATACCATTCAGTTTATTTTTCCCTTTTGATTTTTATTATAGAATACATTAACTTCATTGATCGGCAGAACCAGAATCCTTAACAATTTATGCGATAGGACTCTGGAGTAAGCAGAATTCTAATTGATAGTAAATAGGAAATAGTAGGAAAGCTGAGAGATTTTGTGGGAAGTTTGGATTATCAGCTTTAGCTCAATGAAGTCAGCTTATCTCAGTGTAGTTCAGTTAGTTGTAGACTGGTGTACTGTGATAGAGAAATTGCAACTTTGCATTGGTTTCTAAATTGTTTCCTCTGTTTCAAAATTGAACCATGTTGACGTTGCTTGGTGAATGTGTATCAGGCTTGATATCAAATAGTCAAGGGCTATTGAAAGCAAAGAAAGGAAATCGTGATTGAAAAATGATGCAGGATGATTTTTAGGGGGAAAAGTATTTGTTTCCTTTGTTATTTTTATTCTTATTTATTTTAGGAAAATATTATTATTTATTGTGTTTTTATTTTTTTCTATTTAGTTTAGGAAATCAAATATTTTGCTTGGTAATTTTATTTTTCCTATTTAGTTTAGGTATACCAAGTATATTGTAGCTCTATAATTATTTATTAGGATTTTTTCTGCTTCAAGATAGATCTAGGATTAGTATAAATCGAGTTGTTTAGCTTGTATTTCAGCAAGCTACTTGAAGAGAAAATATTCAGCAATAAAATTTTGAATGAGGATTTTTGTGTGGTGATCTTATTCAGCAGGAATAAATTAACTTATT